TGCACCTGCTTTTTCAAAAAGTGACAGGCAGACGTCAAGCTCTGCGCAAGAGAACGCCCGGGCAGGACCATCAGCAGGTGTAATGCACAAGGCCCACGTGAAGCTTTTAGGCGCCCACTAGGCAGAAAGAGCCAGCCCAGAGATCTCAGCCGGACTCGGCTTGGTGGCAGGCCTGGGAAGGGACAGGTTGGGGCTCCCTCGTTCACTTCCGCTTTGAAAGCTTGCGCAGCTGAGAACAGCTGCTGCAGCCAGGCAAGCCGGGCAGGACCATCAGCAGGTGTAATGCACAAGGCCCACGTGAAGCTTTTAGGCGCCCACTAGGCAGAAAGAGCCAGCCCAGAGATCTCAGCCGGACTCGGCTTGGTGGCAGGCCTGGGAAGGGACAGGTTGGGGCTCCCTCGTTCACTTCCGCTTTGAAAGCTTGCGCAGCTGAGAACAGCTGCTGCAGCCAGGCAAGGATTGCACGGAACAGCAGACAGATCAAAGTCAGTTACTAAACCAAACCTGCCAGCTGCGCCTGAGCCACTCAGAGAAGTGGTTCTAAACCTCCATTTCTCTCCCTAGTTCTTCAAGTCCTCAGACCAGAGCTGCTCTTTCTTCGTGACCTAGGGCCAGCAGCTTCCTGCACCCCACCAAACCCAGAGTCATCCCTGTCTCAGGTAACCAAGGTCACCATGCAATCTAAGCCACCGTCTCCTCAGACTGGGACCAAGCTCCACAGCCCTCTTCTAGAGACAACACATCCCACTGTCCCCACCGCTCAGATACCCCCCAGGCACCTGCTGAGACGTGCCCTCTAGGCACCCCCACCGCCCCACAGCTGCTCACAGGAACCCCCCAGACACCCCATAGATTGCTCTGCTGAGTTTGTCCCTCTGAGCTGCAGAGGGCACGCGGGGGCACTGGGAGTCATTGCACTGGGGTGAATACGGCACTTTCCACACTTCCTGTTCTGGGGCGTGGGGGAGGGGTTCATTCCACATCTGCATCTCCGTGGCAAAGGGCCAGAGATCGGGAGAGCAGCTCAGCAGAGTCTCTTTCGCTTCCATCGTAGGAAATCAGCCATTGCCAGAAACCCCCGTGTCACGCCCCAGCCCGAGACCAGTCAGCGCCCGCCCGGCCTGTACCAATCTGGCTTTTCTGTAGCCATGGTGGAAGGCCTGTGCTAGGCCTGAACCAGAGCCGCCTTCTGCAGCCAGACTGAAGAGCAGCAGCCAGTACTGTAAGGCCTGGAGTCACACTCACATTGCAGCTAAATTGCATTACCAAGTGTCACGCCAGGCTGTGAGGAGGGGACTTTGCCCTGATAGCTCCCCACTGTCACCAGATAAAGGAACAGATCTCAGATGGGTAAAGAAAACGTAAGTCGCAGCGTTCTGTCTGGCAAGAAACCGCTTATCACTAGAGAATGTTGTGGGATCCACATCCTATGAGCAGTCGTTACCCTTACCCATTGTTTGACTCCATGATCGCTGTCTGGTTTGTAACTGTTTCTGGCTGCTGTATAATTAATTTTGCCAGGTGTAAATCAATGAAGGTGGTGGGGTATGATTGGTTAGGTAATTTGTTATGATTGGTTAGTAAAATTATACTAAAATAATTGGTTTCAGTCTAGCTAAGCAAGGGTGTGTGTGTGTGTGTACACACAAAAAAAGATCAGAAGGAAGGAAGAAAGGGCTGGAAGAAGACCAGGAACATCAAGAAGAAGGGGGAAGACCTGGAAGAACTACTCATCTCCAGGACACAGCCTAGGACCAGAGCTGCCCGGATTCTCCTGCATGACCATGACATGCAGCAGCTAAGATCCAGAGAGACTGACCTTGCCTGGCCAACAGGGGAAGTCTGCCTGCCTGTATCAGGTTTGGTGAGCATGACACTGTGTGCTTAGCATGTGTATTCTGCTTGCTTGGGAATTGTCCGTCAAACAGGATAAGGACATTACTGTGA